CGGCCGCTGTGGTTGTGTCAGGAAACTTAAAAGCCGTTGAGCCGCTGTGTTGAGAGAGGGAACGGGGGCAGAGCGGGTTCTGGCAGCCGCCTCTTCCCCCGGTGTTCTCCCTCCGGCATGGGAGACAGTGTCCCGCGACCAGGGAGAGGAGAAATCGGCTTTCTGGCTGGGCGTTCCCACTCTGGGTTTCTCCGAGGAGCCAAAGCCAGTGCCTTCCCTAACGCCGAATACGCTCTGGAGCGGTGAAAGTGGAACGGCGCTTACTTTCTCACCGCACGCCCATGTGTTTGCACCCACATCCTGCATGGCTCTGAGCGTTGTCTCCCGTCCTGAGAGTACAGCAATGGAAATCAAACATTGCGTTTCTCTGTAAATACAGCTCTTGCGACTGTATCAACATTTGTCTGTTTATGAGGAGGGAGTTGTTTCTTCTGTGTTTTTACAAGCCTTTATTTCTGTCTCCAGGATAGTTATCCATTCACAGGAGAAAGAAAACTCTGATCCGGATTACATTCCCATCAACAGCCGCTTTAAATGCGTACAAGGTACTGACTCTCCTGGAGTGGGGTCTCTTGTGGTGGCAGGAGTCCACTGCTGTTTATCTCCACTGCTGTTTATGAGCAAAACACGAATTTAGTGGTGTTTCTTGACCTGCCTCCTGAGCGCCCATACAGATCGAATGCTTCTCCACGAAACTAAAACTTGCAGTTAATGGAATCCTGCTTCTTCCTCGTCTGAGTGGGTACTCTTTCCATGTCAGCATAGGGTTGTGAGGAACTTGGCTGGTTCAGATGAGTGGTGGGATTGGGATCCTACAGAGCTCGCACGTTCAGCACTTGTCTGCAGTGGCTGAAATTTTCATATCTGCTGATGTCTGTCTGCCTGTCTTCTCCATAATGGCAGAAGTTGGGAGCTTTAGTCAGATTCCTGCATGTTCAGATCAAAACTCCTGTAACGTCTGGCAAGCTGTCAAGTCCAAAGAGCTGCCCGTGGAATGGGAAAGAGCTTTAGGCCTTGTCTTGGAGGAACTTAAATAGCAGTGTGTGTCCCTGGGGCAAAGGCTTGTTCAGGACTAAAAGCACCTTTGCCTGGATTAGTTTGTACCCTTCAGCGTGGTTCTGCCCGTCATTTTTGCTGTGTAGGCAAGCTCTGAAGTTCATTGTCAGGTTGGCCTTTCCCAAAGGAGCTACGCTGATGTGGAACAAACTACGAGGTGTGTGGGAACTCTGAATATTAGGGATCTCCCCTGTGACACTTTGATTGTGGGAAATAACAGTGCAGATTGCCAGAGCCGTTATTAACAGTACAGATGTAAATTAAAGGTATTTGTTCCTTTGTTAGGGCTCCTGTGGCTAGTAGCAGGCAGCATGCTTTTTTGAGTACTCAATTACTGCAGCATTCAGTGTCAGCTCTCTTGATCCTGTTTTTCTCTTTTCCAGAGGCGGAAGAAACTCTACTGATTGATATAGCTACAAACAGTAAGTTTTATAATTGAGGCTTTAGGTGGCTGAAGCTCCTGTCAGGAACCAGCTGCCTGTTGGGCGCTGGTGCATGCATAGTTTACCTTCCACTTCATAATCTTCCTCCATACTTTGTGTTTGTCTTTGGATCAAGCAGGGATTGTATTTCCTCTAATGCTGTTGTCTGGCTCTTTTAGACAGTCAGTTGTCGTGACACACATGGTTTTAAATGCTCGGATTGAAGCATTGGCAATTGGTGAAGCTTTAACTTCTTCAATCTTTTCTCCAGGCCCTGCCCTGCATTCTGAACCATCCTCATCTCCCTTCCATTTCTTTGTCCTGTACTTGAGCCTGGGTTACTGTCTGCCTTTTTCAGTGTTGATAACGCTCTGTCTAGTCACAGATTCTGCTTTCCCTTTCAAGAAATTTTTCTTACTACTTTTAGAGCTCTTCTCTCCAGGATTGCAGCAGGGAGAGGTATTCCTAAAACGAGGAAGACATGACTGATGATACTCGGAGGGAGGTGGGGTGGGGCAGGGCAGGATCTCAGAAGCACAGGGAAACTAGCTTAGGTGCAGATTTCCATCGGAAACAATAGCTGGAAGTTAGCTTTCATTGGTGAGCACAAGGATATCTAGAAAGCCTGGTCACTCTCGGGGCATAATATCTGTGAACCAGCCTGGACTGACTCTGTGAGTCTGTGTTTATGCTTGAAGCAGGCTGTAAGGTCCGGATACAAGGTGATGAGACAGCGGAGCGGCTCTTTGAAATCCCTGATGAGGAGCGTTGCTTAGGATTCCTTTCAGAAGTGCAGAGCATACAGGAAGGTAAGCAGAGCTGTAGCTGTGTTTGTGAAATCCTCTGACTGCCAGCAGTTTCTCACAGGGCTGATTTTTTTTCCAGCCCACCTGAAAGCTCTTCCTGAACCTAAGGACTCAGCCAGCTGGCATCAGGTGGAGAAGAACCTCCCAGGTCTATCGCAGGCCTCTTCTTCGGGTATTGAACTGACTGTCACTTTTTACGCTCTGTGGTCTGTAGAGTAATGGGGCAGTCAGGAGCAGGGCGCTGTGTCTGACCCTGCACTCGGTAGTCCGGTCTCTGCCCCATTTCCTCACTTGGCGTTACCCTGCACAAAGTAAAACATCTCGGTCTTTGGATTTTGTTGTCCTTCGTGAGTGCTGTCCTCTGCCTGGTGCCTTGGTCTGTGTATGTTAAGCTCATTCCTGCCTTGGCTTGTGGTTAGTACCCCTTTCTCTCATTCCTGAAGTCATCAGAGTTGATATATTCCTTTTTCACTTTCTGTGGAGTTACATTTTTTTCCTTCTTGATCTGAGCTGTTTTAAATTGTTTCTCAGGGTATCGTGCTTGGCTTTTTTGGTTATAGGAGCTTTGGAGTTTGAGGATGACTTCAATGCTCTGAGCCTAGAAGAGAAAAGAAACATGCAAAACCACCAAACGGGATCTCGCCGGGAGCCCCCACCTCCTCCTGTGCCTCCAAATAGGCAGTAAGTAACGTGGTGAATCTGTTCCCTTTTCTCCTTCTCTTCCTAGACAGCAGAACCAGTTTTGATTCTGCTATTGCTTCCTTCCTAGATTTCACCGAGAGAGAGAAGGTACATCAAGAGACCAGCCAAAAGTGACCAACACTATGCGCAAAATGTTTTTGCCCAGCACCCAGTCGGGACAAAGAGAAGGCCTCATCAAACATGTGCTTGCTAAGAAAGAGAAGGCATATGTCAACCTTCACAACTTCAGGTTAGAGCTGTGACTGAGCGGCGGTGTGCATGGAGACGAAGCTGTTTAACCTCATCTGTGAACTCAAATCTGACCCAGGTTTGAAATCTGACAACCGCTGACCTGTGGCCAGCTTGGGTGGCTAAACCAGGCTCGGCGCAGACTGGGAGTCGATAAGTGCCTGCAGTGCAGCTTCTCCTTTTGCATCTTTTCCCCTGTGTGTGTCAGGTCTCTTGACCCTCAGGACTGAAGCGGTTGGGCAGAAAGAGGATAAAGGCAGCCGTCCCACCACACTGTCTTGGTGTTGCCCCACATGACATGATGTTAAAAGAGCCAGATGTTTGCTGGCCCCGGTGAAATGTCTTTAATTTTGTAACATTCTGCAAAATCCCTGAGATGAGTGTCACTGAAAACGAGCCAAGCCTAGAAGAATTTTCTGTTACCCCATAGTTGGCACGGCCCTGCGCACGGACAGCTCATGTGTTGTGTCTGCTCCCAGCCTGAATATTGCTGTGCATGCACTGGAGAGACTGGGCTGGTGCAGTTATTGTGTTTTCTAACAGTTCAGCTGCTTTTGTGTTGCAGATTTTTTGTGGGAACGTGGAATGTGAACGGGCAGTCTCCAGACAGCAGCTTGGAGCCCTGGCTGGTGTGTGACGCAGAGCCTCCAGACTTCTATTGCATTGGGTGAGTAGCAATGACCTCGTATTTACTTAGAGTGCTGGGTTTCTTGTTGCTCCTGCTTGGATGCTGGTGGGCTCTATTTATTTTAAGTTCCCGTCGTGTTCTCAGAGGTTCCGCAAAGCTGAGCTGCACCTCAGAAGAGCTATCCGAGGGGAAAGAGCCATTTGGATGAGGCAGAGTGTTGGGTTAAATGAGGCTGGCATGTCATCACAAAATAGATTTTCCTTGAGGCATCCACGGAGCTCTCTGGTTGTCCTCAGCCTAAAGTAATACTTCTCAGGGAGATGGCTGCTGGAGTGTGTTGCAGTAGGCTCTCAGAGGCACTGTGCTGAAACTCTGCTGCTTTATTTAGCAAGGGGGAATAAGGAGCTTCTCTTCCAAGAAGAGCTGTTGCTAGAGGTTTCACATTGGACCTTCTGTAGGAGGAGGGTGATCTGTAGGAGAGGTGGGATGTGCTAAGTTGGCTTGGTTTTTTAGGTTCCAGGAGCTGGACCTCAGCACGGAGGCTTTTTTCTACTTTGATTCTGTAAAGGAGCAAGAGTGGATGGCGGCTGTGGAGAAGTCCCTGCACCCTCAGGCTAAATATAAGAAAGTGAGTTCTGTTCAGCGTTGTGGGGTTTTGTCATAGAGTTGCATGATTGGAAGGAAAATGGAAATGGGCTTTCCCTTTCCTCACCTGACCCGAAGAGCTGTGATTGGAGAAACCAAGGATGCATTATACTTGGCACGTGCGTACTGGTGCATGTGTCAAGTATGCCAGATTAAATCCGGAGAGTCTGTATTTCTGCCCCACAGTTGTAGGGGGATATTGTACTTTGAAGCAGAAATTTGTAAAGATGGGGATCGAAATAACTTTATAAAATACAAGGTTGGTGTCAGGGAAGTAGTATGCTCAGTGGAATCATAGCAGCGGATTCAAATTCTTTATCTGTGTTACCGTCTCACCTTTGTGTTATAGAAGCAAGGTGTGTCTTGAGCTGGTATGTTAAATGAATGTTTATCCCCCCTTTCCTTGAAGCAATGGGATAATTTATGAGGCGAAATCTTCCAGAGCCTGCTGCCTCGCAACAGATTTTTTTCGGTTGTGGCAGCAGGACTTTACTCTGGTTGGTTTAGAGCAAGCCGTTGCTGTTTATCTCTGCTGGAGCATTTGCTGCTGTAGGTACCAGCCCTAAATACGTTAACGAGCTTCCTCTTCCTCCTTAGCCCTTGTGTTCACTGTCACACCCTTGTCCTCCTTGCTTTGAGTTGAGCTCAGTGGCATGCGTTAGAGGTGATCACAGCAGGAAAACAGAGCCGAACTGAGATTCATCCAGAGGGAGCCAGGGGTCATGACCTGAGCTGCAGAGAGGCTCATGTTCCCGTCCCTTTGCTTTACTTGAGTTTTAGGCAAATTTCTCCCACTAACTGAAAGGCAGAGAACAAGATATGGCTGCAGGCAGGGGGAAGTGACTGAAACCCTAGATAAGACTTGTGGTTTCATGCAAATTCCACTCCTGCAGAGTGGACTGAGTACTTGGGCTCTTCCAGTTGAATTCTCTGGTTTCAGCTTCTTCCCTCACTACGTAGACTGAATCCCGAGAAATCTCAATGTTTTTATGCCTCTAAAGTCAGCACGTAGATTGTGCTCAAGAAGATTAGGCCTTGTCGCTGGCTTTCAGAGTTGTGACCCCACTTGTTTGAAGGTACTGGGAGGCCATGGACTGGGAAGTGCATTACCTTAGCGTGTGTGAAAGAATTGGTGGCAGAGGTGAGACCCCTGCTGGGCCAGTGCACGTCAGCGCGGTGGGAACACCTGTGGGTTGAGCTCTGCAGTAGAGGAGAACCTCTTAGCTCCAGAAAAAGACTCTTTGCTTTAAAGAACCAGTATTTTCTGAAAAGCAAACAGTTTGCTCGGAGATGGCTGCCTTTTGATAGCCCATGGGTCAGGCACGTTTGCCTCAGGAAATACCAACTTTTCTGTCCGTTCTCCTCTAGCGCGTGTCGCTGGCTGCGCTGTAGTTCTGAGTAAGCAGAGGTGAGCACCAGCTCCCAGCAGGACCTGCAGCCCTCAGCGACAGCCGCAGCCAGCAGCTCTCTGCGACACGCCGGACTAGAGCACTCGGGATCTTCCTCTGGTCGTGTTGCTGATCAGAGCAAAAGGCTGCGACTTCATGAAGAGGTCTGCTGTGTGTTTGTAAAGTTTCTGTTACCTCGCAAGACAGCCCCGTTTGTAGGGAAGCACTGGAGTGGGGACTGTAGTGAGCTCAGCACAGCCGATAGCTGTTGGGGGATGATAGATTGTCCTCCGGAACCCAGGAGGTCCTTTCGGTGGTCTTGCAAGCAGGGATTGAGAACAAAACATGATGAGGAGTGGGGAGAGCCAGAGAAGCAGAGCATCAGGGGGAAGAGGCAAATCAGAACTGCATTTCCACTGCCTTTCTGGGGCTCAGGATCTCTTTTATTTTTGCAGGTGCAAGTGGTCCGTCTAGTTGGGATGATGTTGCTCATATTTGCTAAGAAGGATCAGCTGAGCAATATCAGAGAGATCATGACAGAGTCCGTGGGCACGGGAATCATGGGAAAGATGGTAAGTGACCAAGGCCCGTTTGTTGCTTCCGTGTATGCGTGCAAGAAATGGCACAGTCTGGCTTTGCTCAGCTGTCTGTACCACATCCATCTGCTCCCTGGCGCCTCACCTGCCGCCTTCTCTGACGGCCTCTGATACCTGCTCTCCCCAGGGCAACAAGGGCGGTGTGGCGGTGAGGTTCGTGTTCCACAACACCACCTTCTGCATTGTCAACTCCCACCTCGCTGCTCACGTGGAGGACTTCGAGCGGCGAAATCAGGATTATAAGGATATCTGCGCTCGGATGAGTTTTATAACCCCTGATGATACTCTACCTCAGCTCAACATCATGAAACACGAGTAAGTTTATTTTGCTGTTTTCCCTTTTGAAGCGGTGTTGAATAATCCAAATCAAGTCAGAGTCACAGCAACAGGAGATTTTGCACAGATATGTTTTCTGGCTTAGTAATATAACCCAAAATGCGAAGGCCTCTGGTGTGCTAGAGCCCCTGCACTCAATCTGCATGGTCCCCTTCTTACTGCGGTGACTTGTGCAACCTGTCTCTAACGGCCCTTTCCTTCCATGTTGTGTACAGTGCTTCCATTTCAGCAGGCACCGTTCCCGAGTCAACGGTGGAACGGTACAAGGCTCGAAGAAACTGCGGGGTTTTTTTGTGATGGGAAATGGGAGTACGAGTAGGGGAAGAAAAGGGATAGCAGGATGGGCAGAGGCTATGCTGTTTAGGCTTTTGTGAGTAACAGATGCTTATAATTGCTGTTTCGGTTTCTTTTTAAATTAATCGGGTGATACACAGGCAGTACTTGATTTATTTTTTTTTTAAATTACTATTATTTTTAATGAGGTGACAGTGGTGCTGAATAATCCAAATCAAACTCAAACATGTGTACAACAAAGAATATAAATGAAGTTTTTTATAACCTGATACAAATGATTAATTCTGCTGTAGTTAATATTTAAACCAGTTAAAAACTGAAAATAAAATGTAGAGTGGATTAGTACAGAAAAAACTTCAAATATTAGATTATCCTTGATAATCCACTAATGGAAGTTTTGAGGTGTGACTATAAACAGGAGGAGCTTTGATACTAGAGAGGGGTTTAGGTTTTAATCTTTAAATGAAACCTTTGTGGAGTAAAGAGTAAATACCAGAAGTGTTTCTTTAGCTGCTGGTACTGAGAAGGCTGTAGGTCTGTTTGAAAGCCCAGAGAGGAGCAGAGTAAGAGCGGGTGCTGCTGAGGTATGGCTGGTGGGTGAGATAGGACAATCACACTCTGGAGGTCATAAAGTCAACAGGAACCTAACGCTGCTTTTGCCAATTCTGCATCAGTCAGTCTTCGCTAGGTGGATGATGCAGCAGTGGCCTGATCTGGTTGAAAGAAAGGCGGTGGAAAACAAACTGGTAAAACGATGGTATGACACGGGGTATGAGCAGGCAGGTGCCTGCGTGTCAGCCTGCCCAACTGGTTGACAAGCAGGCTGTGCTTGACGAGCTCTGTCACTGTCCTCTTCTGTACACAAGAAGAGCCTGAATACAAGAGGATTTTGTGTAGCTTGAGAGGTTATGAAGCTTGGCAAGATACACTGGTTTCGCTTCATTGCAGAGTTGATGGTGTTCTCAGGCTTTTGTCAGATTGAGGCAAAACTCAAGCATCTCCCGTTAAACCAAGTCTTCAATCCCATGTGGGATTCCAAAGGAGGTGGACTTAGTACTGCAGTATGTGCTGCCACTGGAAATTTCTGCTGTCAGACTCCCTCTTTCATGTCCGCTTTTGTCTTCCGTGTGTCTCAACCTTAATCACCAGCAACCAACCATCTATTCCCCTACGCCCCTTCTTCCCTGGGTAGCCTGCGGTACTAACTACTGGCTCTTCTTTTCCATGTTTGTCTGTGTTTTCAGTGTTGTCATCTGGCTAGGAGACTTGAACTACAGGCTTTGTCTCCCTGATGCCAGTGAAGTGAAAAGTCTCATCAGTAAGAATGAGCTTCAGAAATTGCTGACGTACGACCAGGTCAGTGAACAGCGCTTACGATTGCACTGTGCCTGTGAGGCCGTCTTAGTTTGAGATGTGCCTGTGCTTGGGAGGAGCCGGCAGATCCTCTGCGATAAGGGGCTGTAGACAGAGACGCTAGACCCTCGGCAGAGCTCTGGGTGTCCTGGTGACATCCCCCCTCAACTAAAATAGATTGTACGTGGTACTGGGGTTAACTGGATGACTCGGGCAATTACCATAGAAGTGTCTTTGCATCTCATTGGAAGAGTTCTCTCTTACTTACAAGCTAGAACATAGGAATTTGTAACAGCAACAAAAGCTGCTGTAATCAGTGTTCTGGAAGAGGTATTGATTTGGGGGCCAGCGCTTGTAGCCAAGGCGCTCTGCTCAGCCAGTTTGACCTAAATTCTCTGCTCTAGTCTTCCCCACTCAGCATTTCTTGCAGCACACTGAAAACTGAGACAGCACCAGATGTGCCTTTAAGATGAAGGACTGTACCTGTGAAACATGAACAGAAATAGTGTAATATCATCTCTGACACACAATTTAACAGTAAACCTGACTGATTCTGTTCTGTAGCTCATTTCTGCTGTACTGCGGAACCGCGTGCAGCAAACAGCTGTAGCTTAGGTTTTTGTGAGGAAAACAACGAGGAAATTTTTCAGAAGACTAAATGAGTAAAGGAAGGCAGTGTCAGGTTGTGAGCCAAGTGCACTCCTGGAGGCTTTTGCTAAAATGATTGGCAGTGAAATATTAATGACAGTGATGCTTAAGCCTGAAAACTAATGAAGGTGTTTAGCACAAGTGGAGCAATTAATATTTCCCTTAACTATTGTTTTATGCTGTCTGCATGGTCTGCTAAGCAGCGCTATGCTGATTTGTATTCAGTGTGTTTAGAAAACATTCTACTGATGTGTTGAAATTTTACCTTTGCTAAAGGTATAAGGTCTGAGGGACAGTTTGGGGGATGTCTGGTGAATCCCATGGCCGCAGGTTGCGGTTGCTCTGCCTGTAGTCCTGCTCTTGATGCTCTGCTGTGTGTGTGGGGGGTGGTATGCTGGTTTTGGTTCTGTTTTTTTAAAGTGTTCTTTTTCTGCTTTAGCTGAATATTCAGCGCACTCATAAGAAAGCATTTGCAGATTTCACCGAGGGAGAGATTAAATTCATCCCCACATATAAATATGACTCTAAAACAGATCGCTGGGACTCCAGGTAAATCAGCTGCCAATGGACGTGTTTTCCTGTGACATAAAAAGCATTTTCTCACAAAACTTGATTTCCTGCTCCCTAGAGCTGTAAATACCTCTCAGTGTTATGGTGATGGCTGGAGTGCACAGACAAGTTTGTGCTCCTTCGTTTCCCCTGCTTTCGGAAATAAGCAGACCCTGTATACGTTGACCGGGCACATGCCTTCAACCTCCGTTGCCGCTGATTCCAATAGGTGAAGGCGGGTGAAGTGTGAACTCACAAGCGGCCCTGTACTGGAGGGCTTTTTCTGCTACCGGGGACAGACAAACAGTATTAAAGGAATTGAGGAGATAAGGAAACGCTCTCTCTGAGTCATCCTGTCGCCTGACTTGCACGCCCGCCGGGATGGCTACACTGCGATAGCAGCAGTGGTTCCTGCTTGCTGCTCTCTGCTTGGTGCCTCCCACAGACATTTGTGCATCTGCTGCAGAAGCTTGCTCTAAATGGAGAAACTCCCGAGAAGGAGTTTCAGACCATATAGTGATCGATTTTACGCTGCCTGTGTTTATGAATCAGAACAGTAATTAATCTGGAGAAGGATAACCCAGGATTCAGTCTTCATAATATAATAGTAATAGCTGAGTAGACCTTCCATAGTGGGAACAATAAGTGATGGATCAGATTGTAGTGGGCAGAAAGATCTGACAGTGAAAGAAACTGGTACGGCTTGGGTCACCGTACACACGGCTTCAGGCTGTGGAAACAGTCTTGTCTGAGGTTATTCTGTTTCCTAAAGCTGGAAAGGACGTGAATTTTAGCTACTGTATAGGGAAAGGGGAAGGCAGCAGAAGGAAGAATATAGTATTCAAGTTGAGGGAAGTGAAAAGAGCTCGTTCCATCGCTGCTGATGCAGTCATGGACAGTGGGGGTGGAGGGAGCTGCCTGGCTGGGAAGAGGAACAGCTTGGTTGGTTTATTAGGATTGTTGGATTTCCCTGGTAACCTGTTTTTCTTTCTAGTGGAAAGTGTCGTGTGCCAGCATGGTGTGACCGAATCCTTTGGAGAGGAAGCAACATAAATCAGCTCCGGTATTGCAGTCATATGGACCTGAAGACTAGTGACCACAAACCAGTCAGCGCGCTCTTCTGCATCG